AAAAAAAAAAGATGACCAGTAAGGGGATCTTAACCCTTGACTTGGTGTTGTCAGCACCACGCTCACCCAGTGAGCAAACCGGCCATCTCTATATGGGATCCAAACCCGTGGCCTTGGTGTTATTAGCACCGCACTCTCCCGAGTGAGCCACAGGCCAGCCCCAAGCGAGAGAAAGCGAGAGATCCTTTTGATCACAAATTGACAAGGAATTCTTCCTGGGGAGATTGCTATCAAAAATAGGGACTGAACTAAAGGACAGGGTCTACAACTCCCTTTTCTTTCCCCAGGTCTAGGGAGTGAGAATGTGGAGATTTCTCAACCCGATGAGTTTGAACATACCCCACAGGAAGATGACTTGGGGTTCAAAGAAGGGGAAGATTTGGCCCCAGGTCATGAAGTAGGAAATGCCTCTCTCAAACCCGAAGGCATTCAGACCTGGGATGACTTATGGGTCCAGAGAGAAGGGCTAGGCAAGCCTCAGCCTCGGGACAGAGGCCCCCAGCTCCTGGGAGAACCACGCTGGGGCCAGGCTAGTAGCGATCGGGCTGCTGTGTGTGGTGAGTGTGGCAAGAGCTTCCGACAGATGTCAGATCTGGTGAAACACCAGCGGACCCACACAGGGGAGAAACCCTACAAGTGCGGGGTCTGTGGCAAGGGCTTTGGGGACAGCTCTGCCCGTATCAAACACCAGCGAACTCATAGTGGTGAGAAGCCCTACAGAGCCCGGCCAGCAGCCCAGGGGCCCCCAAAGATTCCTCGTCCCCGGATCCCTGCTGGTGAGCGCCCCACTATTTGTGGCGAATGTGGCAAGAGCTTCCGGCAAAGTTCTGACCTGGTGAAACACCAACGGACACACACGGGTGAGAAGCCCTACAAGTGTGGCATCTGTGGCAAGGGCTTTGGTGACAGTTCTGCCCGCATAAAGCACCAGCGGACACACCGCGGGGAGCAGCCCCCCCGGCCAGTGGTGCCCCGACGGCAGCCATCACGAGCAGCAACTGCAGCCTCACAGGGACCCAAGGCCCAAGACAAGCCATATATCTGCACTGATTGTGGCAAAAGGTTTGTGCTCAGCTGCAGCCTGCTGAGCCACCAGCGCAGTCATCTGGGGCCCAAGCCTTTTGGCTGCGACGTGTGTGGAAAGGAGTTTGCCCGGGGCTCAGACCTGGTGAAGCACCTGCGGGTGCACACAGGAGAGAAGCCCTACCTGTGCCCTGAGTGTGGCAAGGGCTTCGCTGACAGCTCTGCCCGGGTCAAACACCTCCGCACGCACAGTGGCGAGAGGCCTCATGCCTGCCCAGAATGCGACCGCACCTTCAGCCTCAGCTCCACCCTTCTTCGCCACCGCCTCACTCACATGGAGCCCCAGGACTTCAGCTTCCCAGGCTACCCTCTGCCCCCTCTGATCCCTAGCCCACCCCCACCACCTCTTGGCAACAGCCCACCGCTGACGCCTCGAAGCCCTTCACACTCAGGTGATGGGCCTTTTGGCCTGCCTGGCTTGGAACCAGAGCCTGGGGGCCCACAGGCTGGGGAACCACCCCCACCACTGGCGGGTGACAAGCCCCACAAGTGCCCTGAGTGTGGCAAGGGCTTCCGCCGAAGCTCTGACCTGGTGAAACACCATCGTGTGCACACCGGGGAGAAACCCTACCTCTGTCCCGAATGTGGCAAGGGTTTTGCTGACAGCTCGGCCCGAGTCAAGCACCTCCGCACCCACCGTGGGGAACGGGCCCGGCCAGCACCACCATCCACTCTCCTGCGGCCACATAACCCACCTGGCCCAGCACCCACAGCCTCTCGACCCCGAGTGCGGGCCCAGCCATCTGGATCCAGCCAGCCCCATGTGTGTGGCTTCTGTGGGAAGGAATTCCCTCGGAGCTCAGATCTAGTCAAACATAGGCGCACACACACTGGGGAGAAGCCATACAAGTGTGCAGAGTGTGGCAAGGGTTTTGGTGACAGTTCTGCCCGTATCAAGCACCAGCGTGGGCATCTGGTCCTGAGGCCCTTTGGGATAGGGGATGGTCGGGCAAGGCCCCTCAAGGAGGAGCCACCAGCAGGACTGGAATGATAGGGTCCAGGGAGGTTGGAGGCCAAAGGGAGGGTTTCTGCTGCTTAAGCACAGAAGAAAGGGCCTGCAGGTGGTGGGAGGGAGAAAAAGGGTAAGAAACGGGAGAAAGGAGTGAATAGATAGAAGTAGAAATTTGAGACAATAACCTTGAAGCTCAGGAAACTGTCCTGGCTAGGCTTAGTCAGGACTTTGCCAGCATGGGCTGTACTCCCAGCTTCTAGAACACTGCTTACTACACAGTAGGCACTTAATAAATACTTGTTGAATGGATAAACTGGTCTTAGCCTGAAGACTATTAAAGAACCCTAAATTCCTGCTGCCTTTTATCTGTGAAGAATTGACCCTTCCCAACCTTTCCCTGAGAGATCAACACCCTGGACCAGGGTTTGTTTGACTTTAGGAGGTGCAGAAATGGGACTGTTGGAATTTAAAGTGATAGAATGAGACAGCGGCATACTGATCATCCTCATGGGGAAAGTTGCTGTGTGGTAGGCAGTACCCACCCCTAACCTCAGACCACCTGACGGGGGGGTCTTAGCCAGGAGGGGCACTTTTGGACAAAGCCCAGACCTATGTGCCCTTAAGGGACCCCGATCCACCCCGACACCTGGACACTGGCAGAATAGACCAGAGGCAGCAGAAGGAGCACTCGTGGCATCCAGTCGGGATGCCAAGCCCAGGCCCTGGTGGACATCAGCAGAGAACAGATGGCTGGGAGAGAAGGCAGGACTGGAGCGAGGAGAGGCCTGAGAGGCCAGGGAAGCGTTAAGGCCCGACAGCCACATTTCCATGTGTCTCCTTACCAATAAACTGCTTTTTGTCTGAGGCGTGGACTCTGTGTGCGCGCATGCGCGTGTGCATGCACCCGTGGCAAGGGTTGAAAAAGGAGTAGAGGAGTAGCCACAGGCAAAATCCTCAAGCCATGTGTATTTCTAGCTCCGACATCCGGTTTTAAAAGGGCCACCAGGTCCATCAACTGATGCCCCAGGCCTAAGGTTTGGCTGCCCACAGGCACCACCTACGCCAGAGGCGCGACCCTTAAAAGGAAAAATGCGCGACGCCGCGGAGGGAGGGCAGGCGATGCAGAAGGGGGGTGCTCAGTGGGCGCTGTTGCTATGGCGACGGCTACACGGCAAGACGTTGCAGACCTGTCTGGCACAGGAGACCCATCGCTGACGCATCGACCGCCAAGGCCCTGGGAAAACCTGCCTCCTAGAGGCTCTCTCTCTTTTTTTTTAATGGCGGCTGGCCGGTAGGGGGATCCGAACCCATGACCTTGGAGTTACAAGGCTGCGCTGTAGCCAACTGAGCTAACCGGCCAGCCTCCGGCTCTTTTATGTATGGTGAAACAAGCCATGGAGCTGCACAGCCCAAAGGGAGGGTAAAGAGAGATGTCTCCTCATCCCCAGGAACAGGCAACCGCATTTCTTGCTGACCCCGTGCGTCCCCCGGAGCAGGACTCCAATTCCTAGCTTCTTCCTAAGAAAGCGTCAACAGGGAGGACGGGGGAAGAGAAACTGGCCTGACTGGCCAGGGACAAAAAAGACCAGGGCGGTTCACCATCCAAGCAATGAAATACAGGATTACTTTGCAAGCTCGCGTGTTCCAGCGTCCCAGCTACTCCTCGCGCGGGAATAGTCCCTGGATAGTTGTTCTCGCGAGATCTTAACCATCGCCCGGCTTCCCTAGAAACCAGTGAAAGTTGGTGACCGAGCGGTTCCTGCCGATCCTCCCACCTTGCCCAGTTTCGTACACATTCGAGACGGCAGAACTTTGCGTTCGGGGCTAGGGGGTTTTTTTTTGTTTTTTTTTTTAAGATGACTGGTAAGGGGATCTTAACCCTTGGCTTGGTGTTGTCAGCACCACGCTCAGCCAGTGAGCGAACGAGCCTTCCCTATATGGGATCCGAACCCGTGGCTTTGGTGTTATCAGCACCGCACTCTCCCGAGTCAGCCACGGGCCGGGCTTATGGGGCTGGGGTTCTTGACGGCTTCTGCCCCCAGGTGCACACGCACCCATTGGCTTGAATGGAGCCCTTTTGGCGCTTTTGGAAGATCCTCCCTGCTGGTTTCCCTGGCTCCCTTCCATACCAGTTTGGCCTCCAAACCAACCTGCAACGGACTTTGTTAAATTACATCCGGCCATGTCACTCCCCCATTAAAAACCCTACCGTAAAGGCTGGCCGGTCGGCTCAGTTGATTAGAGCATGGCGCCAATGACACCAAGGTCCAGGGTTCAATTCGGCACTGGCCAGCCAAAAAAAATAAAAAGGCTGGCCGGTGGCTCACAGCGCTGATAAACACCGAGGTCAAGGGTTCGGATCCCAGTACCGGCCAACCGCCAAAAAATAAAAAACAAAACAAAACAACCCTGCCATATCTCCCCATGCCCTCTCTGTAAAGCCTAACCCCTTAGCTGGCATTCAAGGTCTTCCACTTGTATGGTTTCAGCTCTTTGCCTCCTAAATGTTGTTTCCTTTAGTGGTAATGCTCCCCCACCCTGTTAACCTCTCCTGTCAAAACACCTCAAGCACTACTATCTCCCCGAAGCCTTCCCTGAGCCTCCAGCCTGGGTGAGAATCCCCCTCTCAACAACCCCTACCTGAGCACACAGCACAGGGAGAGTGTCTTGAGGATAACTAGTCCTTTAGGCAACAGCGTGACCTACTATGTGCTGAGTACTGGGGCGAGAAGTAAAATAGGACCAAGTCCCTGCCTTCAGTTTTTATGCAGAAGCTAAACACTGAACAAATAATTACAAGCGTAGTAAGGACTATCCAGGAAACATAAATGCAGGAGAGAGTCCTACGTGATCCAAAGGTCTCTTCAAAGACGTGGCAATTAACTCTAGACCTAAGGGCTGGCTGGTTAGCTCAGTTGGTGAGAGCGTGGTGCTCTAACACCAAGGGCCAGGGTCCAATCCCTGTATCTGCCAGCCGCCGAAAAAACACAACAACCTTTAGACCTAACGTTAAGTTAGAGTAAGCTAAGAAAGGAGGAGGTGGGAGACGGGATGGAAGATGCAGTGTCTTAGGCAGAGTGAAGCGATGCACCAAGTCCTTGCGGATTCAAGAACTGAAGTAAAGTTCTAGTGAGGTTGAAGGCAAATAGTGAGAGGCAGAGTAACGAGGAGTAAAATAAAGGCTTTTCCAAATTCAACTTTCTTTTTTGGTGGCTGGCCAGCATGGGGGGGGGCCTGAACCCTTGACCTTGGTGTTATCAGCACCACGCTGTACCAATTTAGCTAACCAGCTAGCCCCCAAATTTAACTTTCTGCCTCCCAGTCCTTGCAGGGGCCTGGCACCCATAGGTGTCCTTGAAACTTGATATGCTCTTATGCTCTTTACAAGAGTTTACAATCCCACAAACTACTACCTCCTTGTCAATCTGGCAAATTCCCACTCATCTTTGAAGGCCTTTCACGTTTATCATTTATCTTCTGGGTGAGGCCTGCACCCATACCACTCCCCTCAAGGGAGTTATTCACCCACTCCAATGTTCTCCTGCCAGAATACCTATTATCCTTTTCATATATATATATATACACACACACACACACACACACACATACATATATATATATTTTTTAATTACAGTCTCCTTTACTAGACTATGAGATTCTCAAGAACAGGAACTAGATCCGATTGCGAGTAGATACCTGTCTATGTTTGTAGAGCAAATACATGAAGCCCTTTTCCTTTTCTTTGCAATTACCCGTTCTAAACAGCAGGAGTCTCCTTTCTGTCAGGACTTTCACTGTCCCCAGAGGCAGGCCCCTGGCCAACTCCCTTCACTAATTCTCTTTGACCTTGCTCTTGCTAGAGGTGGGATTCCAGCTATAATCTGGCCCTGCCTACCTCTCCTCCATCTCTCCTAGTACATTTCCCTTTGCTAGCTTGCTGGGATCCAGCCACGCAGCCTTCCTTTTGTTGCTCAAACATGCCAACCTTATGCCTTGAGGCCTCTGCAGCTCTGTCTCATTCTTCCAGATTTTCTTTTTTTTTTTTTTAAAGATGACCGGTAAGGGGATCTTAACCCTTGACTTGGTGTTGTCAGCACCACGCTCAGCCAGTGAGCCAACCGGCCATCCCTATATGGGATCCGAACCCGTGGCCTTGGTGTTATCAGCACCGCACTCTACCGAGTGAGCCACGGGCCGGTCCCCACATTCTTCCAGATTTTCAAATGGCTAACCCTTTCTCACTATTCAAAGTTCATATCAAATATCATGCCCTCAGCAATGTCTTCTCTGCCTACTTTAAAGAAGCCCCCAAACCATAGCCACTCCCTATTGGATCATCTTACCCTGTTTCCCTCATTGCACCTATCATTATCTGAAATTATCTTGTTTATTTACTTATTTAGTTGTTTACATTTTTTTACACCCTTAGCCGTTCCACTAGAGCCAAGATATTTGTCTTGTTCACTACTTCATCTCTAATACCTAGAATGTTGCCAGGCACATGGTAGGACTCAATAAATACCTGATTACAGAATGAACACACAGTGGCTTTTGGGGATCTTGCATCTTGTGTATCCAGGCATTTGCCCCTTCTCCCAGCTCTGGGGAAGAGCCAAAGTTTGAGTAGATGTAATCCCAACATCCAAATTATGCCCTGGGCTCTGCAGCCCAATGCTCAGGTTGCTCAGGTTTCAGTCCTGGCTCTGCCACCAATTTCCTCCTATAACCTCATTCCTTTTTTTTTTTTTTTTTGGTGGCTGGCCAGTGTGGGGTTCAGAACCCTTGACCTTAGTGTTATCAGCACCACACTCTAATCAACTGAGCTAACCAGCCAGTCCTCATTCCTGAAAGATAATTTGGTGCAATGCAGGAGCTTTGAATCTGCTGCTACCAGCTGTGTGAGTTTGAGCAAATTATTTATCCTAAGTTTTAGTTTCTCATTTGCAAATGGAGATATTATTGATCCCCACAGGGCTGTTGTAAAGTGACAACATATGGATTGTAAACATTCACTGAATGTTATTTCTCTTTTCCTTCATCATTTCTGAATCTGAGTTGTGTTAAATAAAAATTATTGGAATCCGGGCCGGCCCGTGGCTCACTCGGTAGAGTGCGGTGCTGAAAACACCAAGGCCATGGGTTCGGATCCCATATAGGGGTGGCCGTTTCGCTCACTGGGTGAGCGTGGTGCTGACAGCACCAAGTCAAGGGTTAAGATCCCCTTACCGGTCATCTTTAAAAAAAAAAAAAAAAAAAATTATTGGAATCCCACGCCAGTCAGCTGCAAAAACAAAAAAAACCCCAAAATATAAAAACAAAATTATCGGAGGGCTGGCCTGTTAGCTCAGTTGGTTAGAAAATGGTGCTGATACTACCAACATCTACAGTTTGATCTCTGTACCAGCCAGCTGCCAAAAGAAAAAAAAAACTATGAGATCACTGTTTTGGATTAAGTTCCTGTACTACACCCCAACTGACCAGACTACAAATCAAAATGAAGTCACCTCTGCTAAGTTCCAGGTCACTTATGTTGTGGTCTGACTCTCCCACAAGTCAGGAGAAAGAGGTAACAGCCAATTTCCCAAACAGGCCAGTTTAAATCTTGATATATATGATAATAAAGTTCACTCTGTTTTAGCCCTAAGACAAAAGAGATAGTCTGAAGTAACCTGATGTTAACTCATCAGTTATTTTCCTATTGTTCTGTCTCCCTGTCCCCACCTTACAAGAAAAGTAACTTTGAAATAACCAATCCGCCCACTTTTGTTCTTTGTTTCTGCTTTCTTCGGCCTTTTCTTTCTATAAAGACTTTGTTGTTTTGTAATAAAAGTTGGAGCCCTTCTCTGACTTTGTCAAATGGTATT